TCTATGAAAATCTGATGAATTTGAAATAACAAGCAATGTCTGTTATATTTCGCTTGTTTTTTCTTTTTTTTCACTGTATTAAAATCAATACAAAGAGACTACGGATTTTTTCTCCATAGGCTGTATTTTGCTCTTTTTTTATGATTGCAGATGGTTTGATGCAAATGAAAAGTGTTTAAAGCAACATTGAAATATTTACCCATGTTTAAATAAATCAAACATAAAAATTGCTGAAACCATCTTGATATGAACTGATATGAGGTGGCAGACCGGGTCATCGCGGCGGAAATTTCATCCGAGGTCACTTCAGCTGGGTTTTCTAGCTGGGTATCACCAAAGGCAGAGCCACAGTCCCATAGAATGACTAAACCTTCAGCCCTGCAACACACTCCCCATGAATAGTTGTATAAGTCAAGTTTACAGGTTCAATGTCACATTTTCTTGTTATACAACTAATACATTTTCTATAAAGAGATTGGCTTAATAATGTACGTATTGTATGTTGTTTTATGTAAGTAATGCAGGGAATCCTATAATCATCAGACTGACCCTACGCACTGTAACTGTAATCTAATATTCATCCATTTATGATAGTAATGGTTTTAATTTTAATCTATATCCATTTTCTTAATCATCTAATGTTTAGGAAACGGCGGAAATTTTTCTATGGAAAAGCGACCAGCCCTGCTAGCAACACCGACGTGGCGCGAAATTTGAACCGCCGCCGATTCGCCCAATAAAAGAACATCATTCTTCACATTCGGAAAAGTGTACGCCTGGTCTTAACCCGCTTCCACGTGATAAAGATGAAAATTATGGATGACCCCTTAACATTAAACACAATATATATATATATATATATATATATATATATATATATATATATATATATATTATATATTATATATATGTGTTTATATACGTATATATATATAATATAATAGACATAAAGAGAAATAAATCGTTCTATAACTACATTCCTAACCTTCACTTCATCTCCAGTTCACTACCTCAAAGAACAAAACAGACAATACAAAAAAGAAATAAAATTGTGCATTTTCATTTCCCGCCGAAATCTCCGCTCCTCGTATTGGAAGATGCCATGGGTTCGAGCCACATGAATCGCGACGGTTCGATACACGGTCGAATGCTCGGCTTCTCTGCTTCATGGCGCGTCGGGGGTTCAGTGAACTCGCCTCGTGAAGCTTCAGAAGCCTCGTCTTTCGTCGGCTCCGCGTGCCTGTAAGAACCTTGCTCTCGGGGCTCTTCCTCTGGAGCCGCGTCCTCCCGCTCCTGCTGGGGATGATTCTCCTGCTGCTCTTGGAGGATGAAGGAGGACGTTTCCCTGAGGGTTAGCTGAGGAGGCCGTGTGAGGGCGGGGCTGAAGCGGAGGCCGGCGTTGTACTCGCGTGTCAGCATCCGAAGGAACATTCTGAGGAACAGGGAAGGGGAAGGGCGAGTGAAAGAGTAAAAGACAGGTAAAAGTAAGGTGGCAGATGAAAGAAAGAGCAAACTGGTGTGGCAAAAGACAGGCAAAGGTAAGGTGGCAGATGAAAGCTAAAAGGAGGAAGGGAAAGCTAATATACTCCCTTGTTGAGCAGGGATACTGGTCGAGTTCACAGGACATTGTACATATATGAATATATAGACAAATATATATATATGTATATGTTTTGAGAAAGTGTAGGTAACTATGTTTGCGTGCGTGCCTGTGTGTGTACGTGTGTGTGAGAGTACGAAGTATTTTTTTTGTGTGTGTGTGTGTGAGTGTGCACGAGAGTTTGCACGTGCGCTAAAGAGACTAAAGTTGAAGACGAGCGAGAAAAAAGCGATGCCCGCCCTACCTCTTCGTGCCCAGCGCCGCCCTCTCCTCCAGGTGGGCGATGGTGTCAGGCAGCGCCACGCCCAGCGTCTCGGGCAGCGCCAGTGTTGCCATGCCCGCGACGATGGACGACACCCCGAACACCACTGAGGGCGCCCAGGGGTACGCCGCGCCCTGGCAACAGCGGAAAAAAACATTTATATCGATCAGTTCTGAAGCTTTTTAGTTACATCTATTTTTTTATTATTATTATTATTATTATTATTTTTTATTATTATTATTTAGAGAAAGGAAAGATTTTTTTATCTACTGTTTTTATTATTATTGTTATTATCATCATTATCTTCGTGATTATCATAGCTGTTTTGTTATTATTGGAATCATTATTGCAATCTCTATCATTGTTATCATTAATGTTATCGTCATTATTATTATTGATATTATTATTCAGCATTATTATTAATGATATTATTATTATCATCATTATTTGTATCACTATTTGTATTATAATTGTCATTACTATTATTATCATTATTGTCGTTGTTGTTATTGTTATTATCATTATCATTATTATTGTTATTATTATTATCATTATTATTATTATTATTATCATTGTTGTTCTTATTAGTATTAGTACTATTGTCATCATTATTACTATCATTATTACTATCATTATCATTATCATTATCATTATTATTATCATTATAATCGTTATTATTACTATTATCATTATCAGTGCAATTATCATCACCATCATCATCCTGGGGCTTACTATTATCATCATTATTGTTATTGCTATCATTGTTATTTTTAATATTATCGTTATTATCACTATCATTGTTATTATTGTTGTTGCTTCTGCTATCATCGTCATAATGATGATAATACTAATAATAATAGTAATGATAATTACTGATATTATTATTGTTACTACTACTACTACTACTGCTATACTATCATTATAATTGTTATTATTATTATTGTTATATAATCATTATCATTATTATATTATTATTATTATTATTTATTTGGTATTATTATTATTATTATTATCATTATTATTATTATTATTTCATTTATTATTATTATTTTCATTATCATTATTATCATTATCAATGTTATTACTATCATTATCATTATTATCATTGTTGTTGTTTTGTTGTTGCTGTATTACTATCGTTTTTATATCATTATTATTATTATCAATTTTATTAATATTATTATTATATATTATTATTATTATTTATTATATTGTTACTATTATTATTATCATCGTAATTTTTACTTTCTCCGCCTCTTCATCATCTTCTCCATCATCACCAACATAATTATCAATATCATTATCAACACCATCCTCTCCCTACTTCTGTTATTCTTTCTATTACCCTTTCTCTTCATTTTCATCCTCCTCCTCATTTTCTTCCCCCTCTTCCTCCTCTTCTTCTTCTTCTTCCTTCTCCTCCTTTCCTTCTTTCATCCTCCCCTCTTCTCTTCCTCCTCCTCCCTCTTTTCCATCTCTTCCTCCCTCTCCTCCTCCTTTTCCTCCCCTCCCTCCTCCTCCTTCCTTCCTCTCCTTCTCATCCTCATCCTCATCCTCATCCTCACAAGATATCCATATATCTATCCATCTATCCACCTATCCACCTACATACCCATCTATCTACCCATCTACCCTCCTATCCACCTACATACCCATCTATCTACCGATCTACCCACCACCTACGCCTATATACCCATCTATCTACCCATCTACCCACCTATCCAACTACATACCTATCTATCTACCTATCTATCTACCCATCTACCCACCTATCCAACTACATACCTATCTATCTACCCATCTATCTGTATTCACACGTACACACACCCCCAATGTCTGCGAAAAGGACTCACAAGATATCCATCTATCTACCCATCTACCCACCTATCCACCTACATACCCATCTATCTCTACCCACCTGTCCACCCATACCCCTACCATCTACCCACCATCCACCTACATACCCATCTATCTACCCACCTATCCACCTACATACCCATCTATCTACCCACCTATCCACCTATATACCCATCTATCTACCCACCTACCCACCTACGTACCCTCCTATCTACCCACCTATCCACCTACATACCCATCTATCTACCCACCTATCCACCTACATACCCCTCTATCTACCCACCTACCCACCTACATACCCATCTATCTACTCAACTATCCACCTCATACACATCACTCACCTATCCACCTACATACCCCTCTATCTACCCGCCTATCCACCTACATACCCATCTATCCACCTATCCACCTACATACCCATCTGTATTCACACGTGCACACAAACCCAATGTCTACGAAATGGACTCCATATATCTACCCATCTATCCACCAATCCACCTACATACCCATGTATCTACCCACCTATCCACCTACGTACTCATCTATCTGTATTCAAGTACACACCCAATTCACACACACCCAATGCCTGCGAAAGGGACTCACAAGATACTCCGTGATAAAGGGGGAGCAGGTGGATCCGAGGCGGGACATCATGAAGGCCGTGCTGACCCCTCGAGTCCTGACCTCCGTCGGGAAGAGTTCGGAGCAGTAAAGGACTATGATCTGGAAGGCCGACGTGATCATCATTTTCCCGATCATGGCTAAGGTGACCGCGAGCCATCCGCATCCTGGTGGGGGGGGGGAGAAGGAGAAAGGTTAAAGTGGGGTTGGAGGTAGGGGGTTGGGGTTGGGGAGGGGGAGGGAGGGATGGGAGAGGAAGGGAGATGGAAGGTGGGGGTGGGGGTTTAGGTCTTTTTTTTTTTTTTTTTTTCTATCTCTATCTCATCTGTCTCTCTCTCTCTCTCTCTCTCCTCTCTCTCTCTCTCTCTATCTATCTATCTATCTTATCTCTCTTCTCTCCTCTTCTCTCTCTCTCTCTCTCTCCCTCTCTCTCAGTCTCTCTCGTGTCTCTCTCTCGTAGGTTAAGAATCGACTGTTTGTATGCTGTCCTCAGCCGTGAGAGATTTCCAGAACCCTGTGTTTACCCGCCCCCCACCTAGTCCTCGGACAGGGAGCGGGTGAGGTGCCTTCAGGCCCTCCAGTTTCCGCAATCTACCTCAAAACTGTCGTATAACAGTCGTGATCCCAAAAAGACAGGAAATTGGATAATTAGTGTCATTTGCAAGAAGACTTTCTGGCAACCGCTCCCTGCACTGACCTCCGCCTCGTGGGCGGGGCTAGGTCACCTCCCCAGGTGTCAGCATGGCTGGAGTTGCATACCGGGGTCCAGCAATTATGACATGGAAATTGAAAGTGAATGTGCACGAGTGAAAGGGAATATGGAAAGTGGTTCCCATAAGAGGGAAAGGAACGACGAAAGCGCAAGTGAGAT